CATTTAAATTTTAACACACTTATTTGATGTATAAATTATATACGCCAAATTTGTTTTATTTGAACATCTTTTTCTAATATGTCTATTTAATATTCGTATTTTGAAATACTTATATTAAATTATTGATGCATATTGAAGCGGGAAGTCCTTTTTTTTTATCCGCGAAGTGGGATGGTCACTAGCACATGGTGAAAGCTAAGTGGGAGTTGGGAACAGAACATCGGGTCGAGGTCTCGTATATAATTTTCCCAAGGTCTTTCAAAGCGGGGAAAAGTGAGTGAGCGAAGCCGTGGATCTCATCTATAATCCCATAATGTTATTTCTTTAGTTCCGTGTTCGGTGTCTAAACCTAACCCACAAGCGGTAGAATTTTGTATTCGTAGAAGATATAGATCTCATTTGACTTGACATCCACACGTATGACATAATATTGTGCGCTTTCTTTCACATAACATAAATGTCGAAAGATCGGATCTCAGACTCAAAAGGAGTTGTCTAGCACAGGTGGAAGTAAACAATTCCTCAACCCAAGATCAGGTTCTCATAAATATTTAATTAGTAATATATTTTTTACCAAAATTTGCTATTAATTCGATTGGAGCACCTCTTTCCAATTTTAAAAAAGAAATTTGTTATTTCTGAGCGAAATTTGCTCGCTCGTTCTAATAACTTACATTTTTTTGTTTGTCAAAATTTTTTACAATTAAAATATTATAGTTTATCTTTATTCCAATAATAATTTTCATCACAGTTATTTTTCTCACATCCTCTACAAGGTGAAAATTTATTACTTTTTTTTTGTCGATGAAAACTTGTTTGATGCATGGGTAGTGAAGGCTTATTCAATTGTTTTTTCATTTCTAATTAGCTCTTATTTGATCCATGGTTTGCAAGGTATTGATTAATTCTGCAACTATAATTATTGAGAGATCATTACAATATTCAAGTACTTAAGTACTCGACTCAAACTTTTCAAACAAACTTACAATAATTTTTTTAATTATTTTATTGTATGAAAATAATTCACCAAATAAATTAATATGTTTTTTTTTATAATTCAATTTATTATTTTTTAAAATACCATTTTTGTATTTTTAACAACATAATTAAAATAAATATATTATAATAAAATATTTTTTAAAATAACTCAACAAATAATATTAATTATGTAATTAAATTAACAATATTATATATATATATATTTATATTTATTAATTCAGCTAATTGATTAAAATTATTTCTTAAAGTATCCAAATATAATATAGGAATTTTAATATTTTCCGTTAAAAAATAACAAAAACTGAATGTTTAAAATAAATAAAAATATTAGAAATTAAGTTTACTAAAAATATTAAAAATTAAATTGTGATAAACAAAAAATTTTAAAAATTAATTTATTAAATTATCTATTAAAGACTCATAATAATAAAATATTAAAAATTGGAAGATGTATATTTTTTTGGTGTTAATATGTAATTAAAAAAAAAAATTGCCGTCTTTTATTAAAGATTTTTTTTTTTTTAATTTGTTTTGGTTGCACGAACCTCCGGTTCAAACAAACGCGATAAAGAGCGGTTACTGCGCGTGTTGTCACCGTAACTGGTTTGGCTTTTTGACTTCCGTACCCCGTTTGTGCATGAAATCGGCTTTTACTCGCAGTTCTCCATTCTCCCCCCTCTCTCAAATGTCCTAACCCTAACCCTAACTAATTTGTTTTTCACATCAAATTATACACCGTGTCTTTATTCTAATGGTTCTTTGCATCGAAGTTTAATGTTTGGCCTGTATCGATCTGGCGCTGCGAAGTTCGAGTTCTCAATCGACAATGGAGGTGTTGAAGGACGATTTTCAGGACATAGAGATTGGGAGCTCAGTGGAGTCGTTGGAAAGGTTATTGGAGTCTCAAAGAGAGCTTTTCCACAGTCAGATCGATCAGCTTCAAAACATTGTCGTCACACAATGCAAACTCACCGGCGTTAATCCTCTCGCGCAAGAGATGGTACGTCTGTTTTTGGGGAAGAAATTCGGGATTCGAGTGTCAGTCCCTTGTTGATTGTGTCTCATGATGTTGATTGTTATTCAGCTAGGGATAGCATTTATGTGTAGTTATTATTGTTTGCCTGTGCATATTTGTAGGATATTTCTCTCATTTTTGTTCAAGCAGTTTGTTTCCACTGTTTTTTTCTATAAGAGATAAAACAAGGTTACTGGGTTGGTTCGCAACTGTTTAGATTCATTCTGATGCGTCTCATACGTGTAATAGCATCCACTGATGCTGGACATGGCATCAAATAAGCATAATTAACTTCTGGGGATGGCGTGCGTGACTTTACTATTGATCATTTTAGAGCCACAAATTAGGTGAACATCCCTGGATGTAGTATTCTTTAAGAGGAAAAGCTTCAATCATTATTTATGATAATGATCATCAAAGATTGGGTTGATTTTGGGTGTGGCATGGACTATTTAATTGTCTTGTAACTATGTTTTGTTCATGGGCAGTACCCCCTTGGTACCGTTGTGCATAATAATACTTATCTTATATTTCAAAAAAATTTTATGACGATGATAAATCCAGCATGGCTGGTAATTGGGTGCATTGGAACTTAAAATGCTTTTCATCAAATAGAGATACGTCACCGTGTTGAATGTCAGTAAGTCGGTGCTACTGAGCGGTAATAAGCATTAGAACTTATTATTGTTTGCTAAGAATTGGAGGCAAGGTACTGAACTTGTGATTTTTTTCCATTTTTTGTCCTGGAATTTGTTTTTGCATTTATAAAATTACACAGTTGGTGGTGTACAAAGATATTATTGGTAATTGCTTCTATTGTTAGTTTGATTTGATCTGATACACTGGGAATCTCTTCTCTTAGGCTATTCAATTTTATAATTGTTTTCTGAATGCTTTCTCTGTTTTTAAATCAATATTCATTATTGCCCTATGATATTGACTTGTAAATATGGTATCTCTTTGATGTGCAGGCAGCTGGAGCTTTGTCAATTAAAATTGGTAAGTTACAAGGAGATAGTAATTATTATGTCCTTTAATATTCTTAGGACATAAGATATGAGGTTTCTGGTCATTGCCCCTTTATGACACGCATGCATGAGGCAGTTGCTCATTTCTAACTATAATCTGCCATTCTAGGTTAACAAGCAAATACATTTTTCATATTCAGCATTCTTCACTTTTTATGTCTGGTTGTTGTCAAGTAGTATCAGCTTTGAAAGTACCAAGTAGAGCAAAAATGGGAAAAATCAAGTTTTTAGCTAACTATCAACATGAGTGGGATTGAAAGTTTCACTAGAACGCCTTTTGGATTTAACCTAGGCCTATTTGACCATGGTGGTCATGTCCCAGGCCCCCCAAACAGAGGATTGGGTTTGAATCCTGCTAGCTGCAGTGCTATCAGACTCTGTTGAAAATTTGATTCTTGCCTCTGTTTGTGTTTTAGGTCTACCTTTCTGTCATTTGTCAAGGGATTTGACCTTATCTTGAGTTGTATTAGATTTGGTACTTTGGATGCTTGTGATTGTTGTATTTTCTTTCACCATAAGTGGTCTATGGCTGATGTGCTTGATATTATTATGATTATTATTATTCCTACATCTGTTTGACTTTTGTTTCTTGTAGGTTCTTTTACCTTAAAGGCCATAATGACCTTAGGATGACACACTTATAAATTTGCTACTGCTTTAACGTGTTTCTTTTGGATTATATTATCAATTTCATAGGTAAGAGACCAAGAGATTTGCTGAACCTCAAGGCAGTGAAATATATGCAAGCGGTTTTCTCTATCAAAGATGCAATTAGTAAGAAGGAATCTCGTGAGATTAGTGCTCTGTTTGGTGTTACAGTCACACAGGTCTTTGTTACTTATTATTTCTTTATTTTCTTTGATATTCTTATGCTTACAGGATTTAGAATAAAAGATATGCCTTTAGCTCTCTCCCTCCTTTTCTACTTGCATGACAGGATTTCCATACAACTAGATTGTAGTAAATAGCTACATTTTAAAATACTGCTTTACTTCTTTAGGAACAAAAGATATTGCTTACATCTTTATAATTTATTGATCTGTAGGTTCGAGACTTTTTTACTAGCCAACGAGCAAGAGTAAGGAAACAGGTCAGGTTGTCAAGGGAGAAGTCTATTAGATCTAATGCACATAAAGAACAACATGATGTAGCACTGACAAGCTATGATTCTAATATACCTATTGAACCAGTACCCTTGAACTCTGTCCCAACAGAGTCAGATCCTATCAGGCCTATTGAGCCGGTTCCACTAAACTCTATTGGTCCTCCCACTGCTGATGAACTACCGTCCTGCTCAACACAGAATGACATTCCATCTACCATAGATGAGTTGGAGAAACATTTTATTGACAATATTTTTAGTATGATGCATAAAGAAGAAACATTTTCAGGGCAAGTTAAACTGATGGAGTGGATCTTGCAGATGCAAAATTCTGCAGTTCTAAATTGGTACTCGTTTGAACATTTAAGCTTTTGCCAGCTTTTTTTGACCTTTTCTTTTTCTTTATTCAGCTACCTGCATGGTTGCAGGTTTTTAGCGAAAGGTAGTGTGATGATTTTAGCAGCATGGTTGAGTCAAGCTGCTATTGAAGAACAGACAAGTGTTCTACTAGTCATCCTCGAGGTACTTCTAATTCTATGTGCAGTTAGTTTATTGTTTCCATATATCTTATTGTGTTTAGGATTGATAGTGGGTGAATAACATACAGGTTTTATGTCATTTGCCTCTTCATAAGGCCCTACCTGAGCATATGTCAGCCATACTGCAAAGTGTTAATCGATTACGTTTCTACAGGACATCAGGTGCTCGTCTTTCATGAATCTTTTATTGTTCTTCTTGCATTTTGACTTGGCATATGCACGCGAATACGGACATGCAGAGATACTCTCTCTAAGTTGAATCTTGATGTTAATGCTCTGCTTTAAGATATTTGTCAACACCTTTTTTTTTTTTTATAAATATAATATCTTTGTCGACACCTTAATGCATTATGATTCACTGTTAGGAATTTGGTCAATACCTCTGGGCCTTTTTTGCTTTTTTTTTCCTCTCCCACTACATATATGCATATATGTGTCTGTCTGTATCTTGGGGGAATGGAATGAACCAACGTTACTTAATCTTTTGAAGATAATTGCTTTACTGTTGTTAAGATTTTTCTTAATGTATCATGAAAAGTTTGGTTCGGGCTTTCTTTCTAACTGGAAGTTTCACGTGGTTGACTGATTCTAAAAAAATCTGATTTAGACTTTTGTAATTTGCTTGTACAGCTTTTCTTCTTTGTGTGGTTTTTAGATCAGAAATTTGAACTAATAACAGATATAGCAGATATTGCTTTCATATTGTGTATTAAGCAGTTCTGCCTATCTGATTTCAAATTCTTATTTCTTCATTTTTGCTTAAAATTTTTCATTTACTAGTATAAAACATTTATTGTGGTTTAGCTGTATTTCTTTGATATTCTTTATGATATTTTTGGATCTCATTTATCTGATTTGAAGATCAGACATATCAAACAGGGCGAGGATTTTGTTAGCAAGATGGAGCAAATTATTTGCTAGAAGTCAGGCTATGAAGAAAACAAATGGCGTGAAGTCTACTACTGATGTACATAGTCAGATGTTGCTGAAGCAGAGGCAAGTCCGTATCTTTGTTTCATAAGCTTCAAAGTTTCTCTTATCAGTTTCTTATTTTTTTTCTTTTCTTTTTGAGCTATACTTGATTTATCATGATGGCTATCTGTTAGGAGCTCCAGACATGAACCCTGGTGAGCGTTTGTAAGTGATAGTGAGAGAGAGAGGCAAGGAGTTTTAGAAGTGAGTAGGAAGGGAGAAAAAAAAAGATTCTGGGGTTAGGATAAGAGAAGAGAAGGGAGAGAAGAAGATGAGAGGAGAGGATTTGGAAAGGATGCTAAGACTGTTTGAAAGTTGTAGGCAAATTTTCTTGTATGTCTATTACATGGCTGAATTCTCTCACACCCCGTTTGAATAAATTTTAGTGATGGTTAATTAACGTAAGATAATGACAGTAATTGGATGACAATGGTATAGGATGGGGATGGTAAATTTTTTTTATATTTGGATGATTGTATATTAATAACATATTTTTATTTGGATGATAGAATGGTATGATTGTATTTTCAGTCAAATTACTAATTTATCCCTCCTTATTTATGTAATAGTATATAATAAAAAAAATTAAATTATTTACCAATATAATTACATTTGTATTTAAATAAATAATTATTACAAATTAAATTTTTATATTTAATAAAATAAGTAATAAATTGTGAGGATAAAAATAGAATTAAGTATATTATATGGGAGTATAAAGGAAAAAAAAGTAACCTGTCATTCACATACCACCGATTCGGTGGTTTTAAAATTTAATGTCAAATTTGGCAGTCAGATACCGTTTGTTACCATTGGAAGTTGTAACAAATATGATTTTCTCACACCGTGGAATACCATTCATTAAAATCCAATCATTTACTACGATTCAAACATACTGTTAAAGTTTACCTTAGTATGGCAACACCATAAAATCCAACAAATCATGACAGAAAGGAAATCCTAATAGTACTACCAGCAGCTGTTAAAAGTGCCAGAAATTATTTCATTTCTAAATACCCAATTCTGGTGTGCCCACATAGCTCAGCAGATATTTTTCTTCTTTTTTCGATAAGACATGGAGTGCCTTGCCAACTTCCACAGCAGTCTTTTTACCATATTGACCAGAGTCTTTTATGGTCTTAACACTATCATTTGCATGTGCAGCATTGTAGAAATTATGGGTGATGAATCGTGGAGCTCAAGCATTGGAATTCCAGTAAGTATGATATAAATCAAGTGAAAGAATGCATCATGAAGTTTTATGCTGGCAACTTATCTTATTGTTGTAATTCCTGTACAGGAAGAAATTATTGCTCCTAAACATGAAAGTTCAGAGAATCTCAGGTGTGAATTTCCTCCAGTACAGCGTTTTGTTTTGGGTAATTTTGGTGGTATAAAGGATAGACCCTTTGCAGGAAGTTGGAATCTTCACAAGCACCAAAACTGCTGCTTGGATCTTCGGATGATTCTGCAAGGAAGCACATCCTAGGTGCATCTTCATCTTGTATCCATGGAAACATTGATATTTTTTTAGTCAGTTCCTCCTTAAAACTAGGGAAATTTTTTATAACACAACAAAGAGCAATTTGGAGAAAAATAAATGAGAATAAAGTTGATTGCTATCTTATTTAGAAAAAAAAAGGTGATTGCTATCAAAGTTAGACAGCAGATATGTCTGTACTTTCTTCCTGAATGGTTCTATAGTATATATGGAAAGCTATAACTTCACCATTTTTTTTTTTTGAGATGGAAATGGGTATAGGACTCAAACTCGAGTCATCAACTCCACTAAACTCTACATGCGATCTAAACTATATGTTGTTGGGTTACAAAAAGTCCTTGTTAATGATGGAGAAAGGTTGGTTTATCAATTATCCCCAGGACTTTTGGGAATAGTGAGTTGTTTGCAGTTGGCAAATGGGTGAATTTTGTAGTTGTAGCTATGAAAATGTGCTCCCTTTCCCATCTCATACTTATTCTGTGAAAACAATATAGGAATTACAAAATTGATCCTCTCATCAAATACGCCAAAATTTTTGTTTAATCCTTTTAATACTTGAATGAAGTTGATTGCCTTAGCTAGCTACAGATACTAGAGAACGCAGGAAAGTTCAACTGGTGGAACAACCTGGTTCAAAAACTGCTGGTCGGAGCACACAGTCCGGTAGGGCAGTATCTCTTAATCAAGGCCGTCCTATGTCTGCTGATGATATTCAAAAAGCAAAACTGCGTGCTCAATATATGCAGAGCAAGTATGGGAAAATGGGTTCCTCATCCAATGGAAGTGGTGAAGCAAAGACTGAATGCATAAAGAAACTTTCAGCAATTCAGTCCAGCAATTTGTCACCTATCTCTAAATTCCATGTTTGGGCTAAAACTGACGAACACAAGAAACCTGTGACAGTTGCCACAAAAGTTTCTAATGACTTGGAAGTTTCTCTTGATAGTAAGCATAAGATGAATCCAGAGGAGCCCCTTCAGGAGGATTGCAAGAGGGTCCAGATACCGTGGCGGGTGCCACCAGGTACATTCTTCTCAGTGTTTATTTACTAGTTCTTTTGACTGTTTTCTGTTAATGTTCATAATAGTTTAGGGAAAGTAGTTCCACAGGGAAAGGGGAAGAGATTTTTTAAGATCTTCTAGGCTATAAGTTACTTAACTGGTCGTCTGGTCCTCACTTCTTCGGTGGGGGGATATTCATTTTCCCTCTGCAGCCACAGATACTAACTCTTTTTTATTAGGAATGGAATATTGGTCTGAACTCCTGTTGTATATCATTTTTTTGAGGTGCATAAATATGTATTTCTTTCTTTTTCTTTTCGTCGGTAACTTTTTGAGTATTGAATGCAAGAACTGCTCCCAGCAACGTCATCTATTGCGATAAGATTACATTTGTTTAACCGTCATGTTCAAGGCAATCAGTTAAAAAGTAATAATGTAAAAGGGGTTAGAGGCAAGGGAGGGCATGCTATGTGGTGAAAATTGACTACTAGACTATAGATTTCCAATTCTACGGCGCACCATTATATCACAATGATTTTGAAAAAGGATTTCCCTTTCGATGCAACGTATGGATACCCTTGATGTGGCAAGCTAAGCACCACATTGCAAAGGCAGTTATCCTGTTCCAATGTCGTTGCCGAGGTCACAGAGTCACCATTCGGAATTCTTTTTGTTTTGATTGGCTAAACTGAGAATATCATCAATCAGTAAAATATCACATTAAATCATTAAAATTCAAGAATTTACTGAAATTTTCAAAAATTGGCCACGCATAATTATGATAGATTGTACTTCATCTTTTGAAGTACTCTTCTTTGTAAGGGTTTTATGAATCAGTATTGTTGTACTATTTACAAGATGTTCAAACGAAACTCTTTGGAAGAACATCCATATCTTTATTATTATAAAGAACAAACATCACTGAGGATATGCTGTTGGTTTAGTTGGATCAGGAAGTGACTACCGGACATAATTAAGTGAAGGCAGATAACACTCTCATTTCTGTTCCTAGAAAAGTTGATTGGATCTGGAGAAAAAAATTTAAATCAGTGAATCACATCATTCATTCAACACCATTGTACCCAATTCACCAAAGTAGTGGTCTCATGAGGATTCTGTTCTGCGCATATGCAGATGCTTATAACATGTGAAATTGGAATTCTTGGTCAATCATTGTTTGCTCCATCAAGATGCTATAAACGGTGAATATTAATTCTTGTTTCATTGACTTGCAATGAGAAGAGAAAAAACAGAGTTTAGTGTTGATATATTTCGTTTCCTGAACCCACTCTGGATTATATTATTGAATATCAAGCCAATTTGTGTGGTTGACGTTTTGAAGGTTGCAGAATTGATTGGCTGACAATCTTCAGTCATAAACAAATTCATAGATGACAATTTTTTTTTGTATCACTGGATGATGGATTAGTTTCTTTTTTAATTAATAAGTATTGAGAAACGATATTGGGTTAGATTAAAGCAGCCAAAAGAGGGAAAAATCGGTTAAAATTGATTTTATTAATTCAATTTACATGTATAGCTTGCTCGCGTAGTTGTATAATCAATATGTCCTGGGCGCACTTTTCTCTGCCGATACTAATTTTTAAAGCCTATTGCCTTTGGTAACCTGCACAATCGTTCACATTGTCTGAACTGAGGGAGACTCTCCGATTATGGAGTCTTAACTTTGTGCAGTGCAGGCTGTTGGGTCTTTGTGTGGAGAATGCTTTCATTTTCTTGTTTTTTCTTTCTTTCTTTTTCTGATATCCAGCTCTTTTATTTTCTTACCCAAAACATATAAACCTATTGAGTCCCAACTGAGCAGCCAGCCTTGTCTGTTGAGCGTTATGAACACATTGATCTTTGCTCCAGTTTTTCTTAGATGTTTTCAGATTATTATGAGAGTTACCTCTTCATGTTCTCATTTCTTTCTTTTCTTTTTCTGCAGAAATAAGTTTCCAGGATGTCTGGAGAGTTGGTGCTGGTGAAAGCAGCAAAGAGATTGATGTTGAAAGAAATAGAAACCGCCGGGAGAAGGAAACTATCTACCCAGCTATCCAAAACATACCACCAAATCCAAAGGAGCCATGGGACCTTGAAATGGACTATGACGACTCCTTGACCCTGGAAATTCCCACTGAGCAGCCACCTGATACTGACACTAGTGAAGCACATACGACAGGGCAACAGGTTTCCAGCTTTCAAGATGTAAATGTTGCAGTTACCTTGGGGCCTACCTCGTCAGACAACATTGGTGGTGGAAACACAGCAGAGCCAGATCTTGAGTTGCTAGGTGTACTGCTGAAGAATCCAGAGTTGGTTATTGCACTGACATCTGGGCAAGCTGGTAACTTCTCGAGCCAAGAGACAGTGAAGTTGCTTGATATGATTAAGGCTGGTGGATCTGGTTTAGCAAGTAATTTAAATGGGTTTAACACAAAAGTGGAAGAGAAGATTGAAGTTTCTCTTCCATCCCCAACTCCCTCGAGCAATTCAGGAATGGTGCGTGACTTTGGTCCATGCTGCAACTTATGCCAAAAATCATTGGGTTATTATTATATGATCATTGGTCTATTCCCTCGGGCAATGCTACTGTCATTCTTAGTCTTATTCAATGTCCCTCGCTCCACATTGTTAGTCTAGATATAATGTATATAATTCTTGGAAATGCATCACATATCATCTTAAAAAGCATGATCTGAAATTAAGAAAGCTTTTAAGTTTATGCATTTTTTTTGAAAGGGTACCCAATTTTGTGTAAACCAGGAGACACCAGTCCTACTGTTGTTGGAGGGAGGGGTTTTTTCATTTATTGTCCTACATGAAAGTCAACCACCAGTTGACTGAAATACGTTAATGTTGAATTGGTCTCTGGTCTTAATTACAAGGCTTTTCTGCTTTGTGGACTCATTGGAGAAAGCAACTGCCATGGTGTCTCTTTATCATAGTCGGAATACATTTAGTAATTTCTTAAGTCTTCTCTTAAAGAGAAAGAGTTGCTGATTTTTTCTCAATCAAATCTTTTTTACAGAGAAAAAAATATGATAATCTTGAGTAGGATTCTACTGTTTGTTGGCTGTTGTTTCAGTTTTGTTGAACTGAAATTATTTCGGAATTTTGCAGAGTGGATGGAGACCAGAAGCTGTCAGGAATCCATTTTCCCAGCAAACTCCAATGGGAAGCATAGTTACTTCAGTAGACAAGCCTCCCGCTGCGAGCTTGGCAAGGCCTCAAATTCCAGCCAGCAATATCACAATACATCAGCAGCAATCAAGCAGTGTTCCGTTACACTCCCAACATGTCCAGGCAGCAATCCCACCATTCTCCTTGCCTCACAAAAGTATTGTTGCACCCGAAAAACATCAAACACCAATAGTCCACTCCTTACATCGGTCTCTGCACGCCAATTCTCCTGCTTCTCCAATTATGTCAACACAATCTGCAGACGTGGCTTTAGCCACAAAGACAAACTTATTGAGTGTGGCAGGGCGGCCTTCATTGCGAATGGAAACTATTACTAATAATGCTAAACCATCAACTTTATTGATGACCCAAGAGAGGCAACCTGTTTCACTTCAATTTCCCACGTCAACATGGCGGCAGGCACCATTGCAGCCCGATTCTCCAGTTCATGCACCTTCATACTCATCTAGACAACCGATGGGAAATGCGGGTGCAGTGCCAGATTCTTGGAGAGGCAGGCTTGGTTTGGGTTCCAATCCATATTCACCTTCTAACCAAAATGGATACAATGCATCATCACATGGTCAGCCGCTATCAGCTCCTCAATGGGAGGGAACTGAACAAGCGGGCAGTGATGGATTTGAATCATGGAGTCCAGAGAATAGTCCAAGAAGTAAGTCACCGAAATATATGCGGGGTAGGAACTTGGGGGAATCCAGAATGAATTCGGGTTGGGATAGATTGGACAGATCAAGACAACAAAACTCTCCCAGGAATTGGGACCGAAGATGGCGGGATAGGAGCCGATAACCCTACAGTCACGACGTGGGTTCTGGCCTTTGGTCTGATGTAGAATATAAATTGTTCAATAACAATTTTTACTGGCTTGAGGGCAACGAAGTATACACTGAAAACTAAAATTACAATCACAATTGTAACTCTCGGAATGTTCATAGATTAGCTGGATCTATTGAATTTGACAAAAAAAACATGAAAAGTTCTCCTCCCAATCTCTGACCCTTTTCCATTCTTTCTTCGTTCGGCTTATTGACTCAAGCTTGGTGACCCAAAAGATAAAATTCAACCAGAAAGTAACATCAAGACATGGATTTGTTGGAATGACTGTAAATTTCTTGGGCTTAAAACTATATGAAGAATTTGAAAACTGACCAGGCCCAGAAAGGTTTTCTTTCCCTCATGCACAAGGCAAGGCCCTTTTTCTCCAATTAAAAAAATTAGGTTAAATTTTTTGCCCGAACTATCACGAAATATTTTTACTCTGTTATTACGATAAATCTATTAAATTAAATATTATGAATCGACTAACTAGTTAATAAAATCTGAACTTAAATTAAAAATTTATATTTGTATTAAATTATTTTAATTTTATTAATATATTAATAAGTTAAATAATAAATCTATAGAATCAAAAAAAAAAATATTGATTTTGTAAAATATTAGAAAAATATTGTTGCATGTGTTGCTACGCGTCAGCATCACGCTGCACGAACCTTTGTCTCCGCAATCAAACCATTTAATTTTCCTGGTGATTTCTAAATTTATAAGACGCAAGAATGAAACTGGACTTCCACTGTCCTGTGATTTCAGTCTCAGAAAACCCCAAACCAGTGGGAGAAATATAGAAAAATGGGATTCAGATTTCACAGCTTCAATTCTATTTGCAAATCTTACCTTCTATCAAGACTCTCTGCTTGTAATTCTCTCTACCCCAGTCACAAAATTCACTCCCAATTTTGCTCTTTCCCTCAACTTGTCTCTGATTATCCCACTCGCAAAGTTTCCAGGCGGTGGCATTTCGGTGATTCTCACCATCATCATCATCATCATCATCACTCTGACCTCTCCGGCACGCACGGAGAGAGTATTTTTCGGCTAGGCCTCGCCGCCGATATCGGACTTGCCGCTGGAAAAACTGTGACCGGTTATTTGTCTGGAAGCACTGCGATCATCGCTGACGCTGCTCATTCTGTATCTGATGTGGTAATTTTGTTTTTTCTTCTAAGAATTGTATTGGTTTTTAGCTTATAAATCGACATGAACTTTCACGCACAACTGTATTAGTTAAATTAGTAGTTTACATATGACTCCTAGTTTTCACTGCCTAGCAGGTGTTGATAGTATTCAAATTCGCAATGTTTTTGACATGGTTTACGATCCTTTTTCTTGTTAAGAAATGTGTGGGTAAATGATCTGAACAGTGTGAATTATATTGGATTAGTTGACAGAAAACGGAATATGGTCATTTGATTACGTCTAGCTTTTCGTGGACTATTGTTATTACTTTTTTCGTTATGTCGGAATTTTGCAAAAGGGATGTTTGTCTATAAACCATACATCAGTAAATGACTGACACACTATTCTTGCATGATTTTGTGACCGCTATAATAGCGTGAATCCATATTTTTATAGTTTTATGCATGTATTAAGTTTCTTTTTAGATGATAGTCTTTACTTCAATTAATTTTTTTCAGGTTCTAAGTGGCATTGCTTTATGGTCTTTCAAAGCTGCACAGGCTCCTAAAGACAAAGAACATCCATATGGTCACTTATGATCTGTACCTACACGTTACTCCATTGATCTTACATATATTGTTCTATAATTCTATCCTATATTCCAATCTGTACTTTTTTTCTTTAATTTTTAACAAACTTGTTGGTTTCACCTATCTCCCCCTCTCCCTTGTTATTAATTCAGTGCCAAGTGGCACAACACAAGCATGGCCCCAATTTTAATTGCATTTACTTCCCTCTATGCAAATATATTTTTTAAGAAGGTAACCTAGCTCTTCTTCATTTTACAGTGTCTCCTGCATTAGTGGAGAACTCTGGACTTGAGTAGATCCGAAAAAGAAAATTTATCAAATTTTTCGTTTTGAGTGATGGAAAAGTTGTTTCCGGCTTTTTCAAGTTTCCTAAAAACAGAAGCTTAAGAAGTAACAAAATCAATCAGCCAATGGGAAGCTCTCTTGGATGGAGATGACTTAGGAGATCTTATAGATACTTTTTTCTAGTACTCTTGTGCCTGTTTATTCAACTCTCTTTTCTTTGAAAGAAAATGATGTTCTACTCATGGTTTGTCTTTTTCTGTGATATCTTATGATTTGTTGGCAGCACTAATCTGGTGATGGCAGTTTCGTGCTCATTTTGATTTGTTTTTTCTTAGTCATTATAATTTGACTTTGTAGTTAGGGTACCTTACTGCAAGTTTATTGAGGATCTTGATGTGATGGCCTTGTTTTTTTTCGAATTTTATTTCATCCTTTTTCTAAAAAATTATATGTAAATAGTAGTGGTTGGACATCCTTCTCAGCTTCACCCCTGAATTTAACTGAAAGGGACAGTGCACAATTTTTTTTCCTCATTTCCTTACAGTAATAATGGAGATGTTGCTGAAAACAAATATTTGATGATAGTTGCTTTTATGTAAGTGTTTGCATGGGCTTCATGTTGCACTTGGCTTCTAGATTTCATACTCTTTTCTTTGTTTTGTTTTACTCTCAGGACATGGTAAATTTGAAACTCTCGGAGCTCTTGGAATTTCTTTTATGCTTCTGGCAACTGCTGGTGGTATTGCATGGCATGCTTTAGATCTTTTGCTTGTATGACTGCTTCTGCTTTTCTCCTATATTGACATGAAATGTGCAGTTAAAGATTAAAATTTAGTTTGTTCGTTGCACTTTTTTTTATAGATGAAAGTTGGATATGTGTGTGTGTGTGTGTGTGTGTGTGTGTGAGAGAGAGAGAGAGAGAGAGAGAGAGAGACATAACTCTGGAAAACTACTAGTATGATGTGAAATTGCATTGGTCTTTGATTTCTTTCATGCCTTGAGATTTCTTTTATCCCTCATGTACAGGGGTTACTGTCTACAGCTCCTGAAGTTGTCAACCAATCATTTATTCATGAGCACACTCATGACAATCGTCATGATGATGGACATCACCATGGAATTGATATGGATCACCCGATCCTGGCTCTGAGTATGACTATTGCATCGATATCTATTAAAGAAGGGTACCAAAATTTTTGGCTGTTGAGTAAAGAATGTTTTGCTTGTTTAATGTCCTCCCAAAGTGTAAATTTTTTCATTCTATAGTTTGCATTTTATTGTGTTATTTTTTCGTGTGTCAGCTCGCTTTGTCTGCATGTGTAAATACCTGTAAGCATTATGGGCAGCTCATGTTTGTGGGAATCTGGCATTAACAAAGGCTTCAGAGCTACTGTTTTACCTTGTTGGATGAATTTTATGTACTGTCCTTCTCTTTTCAGGATAATGTTTGGAAAGGAAGGGGTGTCTTTTTTCTTTTTGGGGTGGTGAAGTGGGTTGTGTGGCTGGGGGGAAGGGGTGTAGTTTGTTGTTGTGTAATATTAACCAGCTATCTTTTTTCAGGTGTCCAATTTTGATGCTATGTTTCTTAGCTATATGTCTAGTTCATTTGTACATGCTCTTCTCTTCTTGTCCTTAGGCTTTATTGGATAACAAAAAGAGCTGGGGAGAGACAAGGCAGTGGGCTGATGAAAGCAAATGCTTGGCATCATCGTGCAGATGCAATTTCCTCTATAGTTGCTCTGATAGGTGTTGGTAAGACATCATTATTGATAAATGGTTATTCAGTTTGCTTTAAGTTATTAAACATGAGGTATATTTGTTGCATGATATACAAGTTACCTGGTGTAATCTGTTTAAATGGCTTCGTTTAAAAATTGTTTATTGCAGAACTTATTCTCTTTTTTTTTTAATTATTTTTCTCGATCTGCTGTTAAGGATAGGTGGTGGTTGTAGGACATTACACTGCAGTCACAGAAGTGAGGTGGTGGTGCTGAGTTGCTTCTATTACTCCTGCTTGTTAATTATAGTTTTAGACATTATGCCGTTTGAATGACTGCTGATTAGCAGGTTAAGATTTATTTTTTATCTCAAATGATCAGACTGTTGTCTTCTGAACTATAGCTAGCTCTAGATTTTTTTTTTCCTATGAGGAACACAGGCTCTGGGTTCTGAATCTATGCTACTATCGAATCTCCACTTCAGACTTTGATTCCTGAACAAAATAATAAAGGATGAAATCATAATATGGTGGTCTTTTGGCTATTGGACCCAAATAATCTTATGGTTTAAGACGAGACTAGAACCTATCTAATCTAGAGGTGAAAGGTTGGATCCAATGGGATTTAAGAATATTGTATTTGAAGGGCTTTATAAGATGATATTGCTGCAGTAGATTATTGTCCAACACTCCTTTTAAGTTTTTATAAGCTTCTTTCAAAGATGTGGTACCACTATATTTTGGGTAGAAAGTCCCCTCATATGGTTATATTCTAATAACTTGTGAATGTTTGATCATCTTGTGCCAATTTGTCTGGTACTTGTTTTTCATTTTTGGAGTATTGAACATTTCTATATTTTCAAGGTGCAGTTTCAACAGTCGTTTATTAAACATTAGAAGAGTGGAGTATTCTGTTTAACTCTTCAATCCTACTTTTTATCCCATCTTGCAACTCTTTACTTCACTGTTTAAAGAATGACCTCTCAAGCGAGAATTAAGCAGTATTTCCATATTTATTAACTTTTGGCCCTGGTTCCTATTTCCATTTAGCATCTCTTTGAAGGTAGTCTTTCTGTGCACATTGTGTTTGCTGAAGTACTTAATGTGTGAATGTTTGTTTTTCATGCATTATAGGAGGCTCAATCCTTGGAGTTAAGTTTCTGGATCCTCTTGCGGGGCTTGTTGTCTCAGGAATGATTTTTAAAGCTGGACTAGAAACTGGATACCAGAGGTAGGCATTCTTAGTCTCACGCACATCTGTATCTTATTGTTCCTACCTCACCTTCAGCTATTGCTCTTTTGAATTTTGTTGGGTCTAAAGTAAGTATAGAAAATTGGACTTAGAAGATCAATGTAAGTTAGTGAATTGGCAATTATATCTTTTCATGTGTGAATCTTTGTGTTCTTTTGTCCTGAGAATTTGAAGAAAAGCATTTGGAGGAAATGCTATGACTACATAACTCTCTTAATTATGTAACTGCATCAGCCATGAAAAGTCTTGCATTTTTATGCTGTATTTTACGTTTTTAGCATTTGACTGGGACTGGATGAATCTTTTCCTTTTGTTTGTTTCCATCCGTATCTTACTTGACATGTACTTTGGCACGAACTCTTAGCATCTTGGAACTGGTGGATGCTGCTATCCCGGCACAACAGTTGGATCCTATAAGACAAACAATATCAGAGGTTGAAGGAGTTAAGGTAAGTGTTGTTTGAGTAAACAGTAAGGGTAGATAAGCACATAAATTTAATTTCTTTTTTCTGGATGTTATTCTGCTGAATGAAAACTCCATTCATGAAGATTGCATGGATGTTCTAATTTTTTTTTTTTTTTTTTTTTTCATGGAGCACTCACTTTTAAGTTATATGAAGCTTATTATCAAGTAAAGTAAATAAATGCCACTGGGGGCTTATAGATTTAAGAATGCTAGTTAACATTACTGTTTGAATTGCCATACTGCCTTGAGATTCAGGAACTCAAACTACTATTTGACCTCTCGAACTTGTAGTCAGTTTTGTTCAGGAAGTATGTAATTCATTTTCTCAATCAGTACAATTTATTAACTTCGACATTTTAGATTTACTTTTTCTTTCTTTGGTCATGGAATACGAGAGTTATTATCAGTTGGCTTCTTTACTGATGAATTTAATATTTTATTTCACTGATATAAATCTGCAGGGATGCCATAGGTTGAGGGGAAGAAGAGCTGGTTCATCACTCTACCTTGATGTGCATATTGTAGTGAGTTCTCCTGCTTCTAAAGTTTAACGCTTCTGAACGTAAAAAAAAAGAAAGAATCATTTCGCAACCATCAGGTATCTCTCATGATTCTTTTCCTGTGACCTGTTACTTCTTATTGCAGGTTGATCCCTTTTCTAGTGTTAGTGCTGCACATGGTGTAGGTGAAAATGTTCGTCATCAAATTCATATGTCTCATCCAGAAGTTTCTGAAGTTTTCATACATATAGGTAGGCGAAATCATCTTCGCAAAAAGTTGCAGGAAGAAGTTTATTTTAGTTATACAGCAATAAAGAGTCTTTGCATACAAAGGTAAAACAATAGTAAGACCCATGAGGACTGGGGTGAAAAAACAGGAAATTATGTCCTTTTACCAGCGATATTTGTATTGTTTAATAGACAATTCTGTTTGATGGAATCATAAATATCTCGCAATTACTTTCTTCAAATGTTCTGCAGATCCAGCATATATCCAGCTTTCTTCGAGTGCAACAGATCAACAAGAATGCTCGACTCGAATCACTAACCGGGGCAGGAATATCTGTGAAGAGGCCAAAGATGTTGAAGATATGGTCTCTAATATTCTCTCATCAGAATTCCGAGAGGTTTGCATTTCCTCTGACCTTCTTATCAATGCGTAATTCTGTTCATTAGAGGATGCCTAAAGAATTATTCAAGATTGAATCTTCTGATTAATTTCCCTTCAAAATTGAATTAATGTACCATTTAGAAGTTCATTAGGATTGCAAATAAGATCCTTTTTCTTTGTGAATTTTTTCAGAAAATGGTAGTGGAACGCATAACCCCCCACTTGTTGCAATCCAAGATTTTCCTAGAAATAGAAGTTTCCATGCCACCGGATCTCACAATTAGGTACTTACGAGCATGTCAGTTTTACTCGTTTCCCTCCGGTTATAGGTTTAACATATCTGTAAACTATTCGGTGATTATAGGGAAGCAAAAGAATTGGCAGAAGAAGCAGAAAGGGAAGTTTTGAAGGAAGCCAGGAACATTGCTCAGGCAAGCATTCAGCTTAGGTTGGGACCTCCACTCCCACCATGTCAACACCATTAACACTAAATTGATGAAGCTGGACTTTCACCTTGTTTGCCATTTGTTATTAGTTCTGTAGTTTTAAATAATGGGGCAGAATACCCAAATGAGGAGCAGCCTGCCCTAGTTTTGATGGTGCCACTATTATTGGAAATAATATTAACATGTTATAGTTTTAATAAATTATACACCTAATTTTTCAAGCATATGAGATTTTCTAATCTTCATATTTTTCTATTACGCTCAGAGGCTTTTGATTGTTCATCTCATCTTTATAAATTTATATTTTAATAAAACACATCATCTTAATATTCTATTAAGATCTAAAATTGTTAAAACTCTATTTTCTGTAATTTTTAGGGTTCATAAAAAAAATCAGGTTCTTAAAAAATCAATTCATCAGTCAACTTAAAAACAAAATATTTTTCATTTTCAATTTTGGGTTATGGAGATAAAACTAATTTTGTTCAAGAAAACCGAAAAACTTGATCGGATCAAATTATTTTCCGAGAAAAATACGACTCGTACGAATAAAAAAGAAAATAGAAGAAGAGAACCAAGTGATCAGATAATTGTAGTCTGATTTGTTTGAGTCGACATCGTATTTTCCGAGAAAAATTATCATCACATCAATGGCTCTCTCTTCTTTAACCCAGAAAAGAAAAGGGGGAATTGAACGAGCAAAAGTAAAAAAAAAAAATACAGAGAGGAAAAATTGAAGTGAGGAGCTCAGAAGGATCCATTGGTGTTTTCTAATCACGAGGGGAGAAATTTTCCCTCATAAAATAGGTAGTTCTCAGCATCATCGCCTCCCACTCAATTTCTCAAAACCCTAACAACAAAATTAAACACAGGTAGGACACAAATGAAGCACGCAAGAAAAAGATGACAACCCTAAATCGCACACCAGCCGGGACAGATGGAGAGATCGTAGAAGACGGGTAAGAATGAAATGAGATGCACTGTCTGTCAATATTTATACATGTTGTGGCGACACAAATTAGGGTTAGGGTTTGTTGGCCGCATAGAGAGGGATGGCTCCTAAATTTACCTAATTACCCCTGGTCGTTGAAATGGAACCCTATGGGTCTTTTGGTCATTTCACAAAGGTTAGATGGGCCTCGGCCCAACAATGACTTTTCTAGTGGTTTGCCTAATTGATCCAAAAGAAATCTTAGGCCCAAGTATGGCTAATTAATTAATTAATTAATTTTTTTTTTACAAAATTATATTTTTTCTTTTATTTCTAAATTTTCGTAATACATGTAGACTTAAAAATGGAGAGTTTAAATTATTATATTCTATAAGTATATATGATTGATTTATTTTGTTTTTTTTTTCCCGAAAAATCATAGAACAAAAATTAAAAATGATAGAATTTTCAAAATGTCATTTATGCTCATCATCATCATAACCAACAGCAAATGTTAATTGCCATATCTCAGTTTCTAACTTGAAGCAAAAAAAAAAAAAAAGGAAAATTTTCTTTCTTAGATTGAAAAAAGAAGCCTACTTTAATTCTCTCTCTCTCTGTGAATCAAACATCCCAAATGGGTTTTTCAATGGCTGAATGATCTCCATGCGAGAGCTGTTGTTGATTGTAAGGATTCATCAATGGCAATCTCTGCTGACTCATTGCTTCCATCTCCAAACTTTTCTGCTGCTGTTCATGCAAATTTACCGGTCTTGACACTGATCCAATCCCCAAAAAATCAAGTGTCATCATGTCACTCGATGATCCTCCATTGCTGCTTCCTGATCCAAATCTTGTTGACCCACCTGTAATAATCTGGTTATTCCTGTTATCCGCCATTAATGCAGCTCTTCCACCTTGTACCAAGCTTGACCCACTTCTACTCTCTTCCTGCTCCATGTTTTTCGGGAAACCTTGGTTCTGTTCGCCACCCGCCATGAACATGTTCGTCAAAATGCCAATGTCGTTCATGGCGGAGCTGCAGTTGCCTGATGGGTCGAAAATCTGTTGGATTTCTTGCGTGTTTTTTCTCAGGAGCTGGTTTGGGAGCAACCCTGTTGATGAAGATGATGATCCACCGTTGATTCCCACCATGTGGCTTGATTGATGATGACGATCATCATCATGATTCTGCATTACTGGTGGGATGTGATCGTATGAGGAGCTGTTATTAGTAGCATGCTGCTGAACTGCACTGGAGTAAGCTGGAGACGATGATGGTCTCACCGATGAGAGCTGGCCCTGAATCTGATGATGATGGTGGTGATGGTTATTATGATCAGAACCCACCATGCTACCGGTGAAGCTCTTCTGCATCATGGGAGAATTTATACTGTTGCTTGCTGTGGCTCCCATCTGTGCTGCTTTCTGCAACAAGGCTGTAGCAGACATGTGAGCTGACCCAGCTGAAAGCTGGCTCATTGAGCCGCCATTTTTGGTATCTGGATGGAAGTAGTTGAACCCAGATGACGTACTATTGGAACTGAGCTGGAGACTGGAGGATGAAGATGCAATGTTGCTTCTTGGTCCGCCAAAGAGAGTGCCTGAGCTGCTTGAAAACATGCCAGCTCCTGCCCCTGCCATGTTCATGGACTTGAAAGGCATGGGCATGAGGTCTTGAGCCAGGGACTTCAGAGGGTTTTTAGGGTCAAAAGTGTTGAAAGTGTCTGATCCAATGGATGGGTTATTAATGGTGTTTGGGTTTAAGCCCGCCATTGATGAAGACATGAGCTCTGCAGGCACTTGGGTCTGCAAGTTTGATCCCATTTGGTTCATTAGTCCTTGGTTTACTTTATTGTTCTCTTCAGCCAATGCATCACAAAAAGCTCTGTGAGTAATAAAGCTGTCCCTCCTGCACAAACAACAGTATATATATATTTTCACATACATATATGGGCTTATATGTTAGTACACTCTTAGTCACATATAGAACTTTTAGATCATAAACCTGGAAAAGATTGTTCCACAGTCACATTTATATTCCCTAGTGCCGCAAGTCTTCTGGTGAGCTTTCCAGTCAGACTGCACTGCGTATTTCTTGGAGCACTTATCGCATTTCCATTTCTTCTCACCATGTTTGCGGCTGAAATGCTTCTTGATTCCTGTTAGGTCGCCTAGAGCGCGAGCCGGGTTGTGGTGTACACATGTTGGTTCTGGGCAAATATACACCCTTTTCTTCACTTCTGTGCTGGTTCTCTGCCTGAGCTTCCATGGAAGATTGTGGCCTCGCCTGTGCAGTTGCAGGTTCTGGTCTCTCTGAAACCCTTTGTTGCATATTTCACACACAAACCTGTTTGTTGCCATTAGTGTTGTTGGTGATAAAGCTATGACTTCTGCATTTGGGTCTGTTAGATTAGGGTGGGAAGAAGAAGAGAATTAGTTGATTAATTAATTACATTCATATTTTATATATAATACATATATAATATATATTTATTTGTAAATATAGTCAAAAAAGAATGTAATTGATGACCCCATGATTGAGAATATAAAAAAAAAATATATATATATTCACACACACACACACACACACACACAGTACTTCCTCAACAATTATTGGAATCTTTTATGCCAATAATTGAACCTCTTTCTTTCTTTTCTCATGTAATTTGAACTTTCAAGATTTCACATGAAAAGGGTATTTTTCAAAAAGGAAAAAGAATCATTCTTCTATTCTTTTTATAAAAAAGGGGAAAATCCAATTTAAACAGATTAGGTTTGATTAAATCCAGCCATGACATGTATGCCCATCTTGAGACACATAAAGGTAGAAATGGTGAAACCTCATTTATATATACACATACATACATATATCTATATATATGTATTATATCCAGTTGCCATGAATATAACATGTATATGATATCATCTATATACATAATTCTAAGACTAATAACAAGAAGCAAAGAGGAAGCATGCATCTTGAAGTGTTAAGAAAGGGGATTAGTGCATTTCAAAAGACATATTTATAGTAACATATATATTATTACTGATACGTATATTTATCAAGAAGGGACTGAAATTTTGCCTGGATTTCCCGGAAGATTTCTTTTCTTCTTGACTGGTTGTTGTTGTTGTTGCTGCTGCTTCTGCGACTGTTGTTGCACAGTAGAACCACTACTGTTAGTCGCGCTAGAAGTGGCCGGAGCAGCATGTATCTGATTCTGCAGTTGCAGTTGCAGTTGCTGATTAACTTGCAGGTGTTGCACTTCTTGATACCCGGCATCATCCGAAGAGAAACTCCCATCGTCCCCCGTGATATTCGACATTAGTGGCAATACAAACTAATAATATACCAATCAGAAAAAAAAAAATAAGTACAATTTATACGGTATGCAAATTTCACTTTGTATCCTTTTCTTTGAAAGTAAAGAAATCGAAAGAACAGACACAAAATCAAGACAAGAAGCATATGAATTCTGGTGAAGAGGATGAGGGAATTGTCTTTTGATTCATAGGACTAAGACAGACATTGCAAAAGCTTGGTCTTGTTTGGCTTTATACATATATATATATATATGTGTGTGTGTGTACATATCTGTTGTTTGACAGAGACCAGAAGAGTATTCATGTGCTTTCTCTTGATGGGTAGTTAATGTAATTACGGTTTTACCCCTCTAATTATTATATGTTATTTAATTTAAATTCTTCTTGTGGAATGAAGTGATGATATTATAATTTTCTTGTACGAATATTTTTAATTATGATTAAATAAAATTTTAATTATTTTTTTTAAAAAAAAATCAAATTTAATATATTGAATATAATTTTTTTTTTAATTATAATTAAAACAACATGGATTAAATGAATAGAAGAAGCTTAGGTTGTCACTACATGTGGCTGTCGTTATTTAAACGGTGCCGGATTACATTCGTCTCATCTAATCCAAACAATCGAAGGGGGCCAAGCAAGTCATAATCATGGTTTAATTAACTTAAGATTATTTACTAATTATAAAATTCTAATCACTTTTTTTTCGGTTTACATGATACTTATGTAAAGTAATCCTAATTAACTTCTTTGTGATTCATGTTAATTTTCATTGTTTAATATATAGATTTTTATAACGCAAATGTCAATATTTATTTATTTTTTAAAAAAAATGCTTGTAGATATTTTTTTTATAAATTAATTGAAAACCCTTTTCATAATAATTGGAAAAAGTAATAGTTATATATATATATATATATATATATATATTGATTGTATTGTTCTCTTGCCTAAGAGACAACTTAAGAGATCATGAGAGACAATTTTAATCTTCATAATTTTGTAGTTAGAAATGGACAACCTTCAACTTAATTCAATTTACATTTATCGAACATTAACAAATTCATATTATATAAAAACAAAAATATAAATATATATATATATATATGTATGTATTTATACTACCAAGTTTAATCCACTCCCCTCACATCAATCCACTACATAATTAAAAACCATGTTCATAATTATGATCCATGAACTTAATTAACTAATTAATTAAGATTAATTATGTACGTTTATGTATATATATATATATATATATATATAGAAATAAAGCATGTTAAATAAGATCGATTCATAATCAATATTAAGTTTGCCAAATTAAAAAATTATGACAAAAAAAGGCATCCATATTTCATCGATGCTAATAGATATAATTATATATTAAGTAGTAATTATACTAATAATATTTTTAATAATTAAGCTTATTAATGAAGACCAATGATATAAAGCAGCCGATACTATACAACGAGAAACAACAAAGAGACAGAATCTATAATATTAAAAATAAAAATAAAAATAAAAAACATTGAGGTAATAAATTCTAAAATTCGAGTCAAATTATTTTAAATTAATTTTTTCAGCTTCAATTTCTCCCAAATTACAAAACGACAATTAATTTGGCTTGGTAATTACCGATCATGGTCGATGGAATTTATGTACATAACATTAATTTATATATATTATTATTATTATAATATATATATATATATGTAGATGTCTTTGAAGAGTTAATTTTATAGAACATCTTTTGAAAAACCGAGTACAAGACAAGCTGGATTAATTAGAACTAGCAGCATTTAGATGTTAATACGTCGCATTAATACAGGTTAATTAATTATTAGTTGCTAATTGACATAGGCTAAGTTATCTCTTGGATAAAAACAACACAAACGACGTCTATGGCCTTCTTTCTTTATATATATATATATATATATATATATATTATATTATCCTTTTCCCATTAGCATATATATATATATATAATTTAATAATTAATTAGTCATATTTTATGATAATGATGTTTCATTAAGAAAAAAAAAAAACAAATGGGATAATCTAATTCATGTTGATTAAGAAAATAATTTAAAATAAAAACAATGTTAATTTTGTTTCAAATTCAAATAGAAATTTTAAAATATAATTAAATGCTTCTAAATTAATTTTATATCTAATTTATGTTAAGTATTTCTATAATCCCTAAACTAATATGTGGAAATACAGTTATATATAAATATAGAATTAAAAAATAAATGCAAATGATTTAATTAAATTATAATTATTTTTTTCTATTTTTTTTTTTAACTTTTAGAGAAAACTTTATAACTTTCTTTCTAGACATTAATCTAGAAAAGATTAGGCAAAAGGTAAGATATATATATGTATATATAATATATATATATATATATACTCAAAAAGATTAGAAAGATGAGCCCTTTGGGCTTTTGAGTTTTGATCAAACACTTTGTTCAAAAAACAATTGACAAGAAGAAGCGATGATCTGATATGCCTTTGACCATGTCTTTTGAACAGCTAATCGTGTGAACCTATATATATATATATATGTATGTATTACATGCATGCATGAATGTGCATAGAAGAAGAAAAAGCATGTTTCGACTTGTTTTAGTTGACTTCTATTCATTTTCAGTCTATATCATATTCCTTCACTAATTAATTAATAATTTTAATATAATATATACACACACACACACACACACATATATATAATTTGTCTCAATTAAAAGTATCAGATGAGAAAACTCAGAGATTTTATAACATTCCCCATCCCAAATTCAGTTCTTTGGTCAGTAAGCTTTTTAGGAGTCTAATTCATAAAAGTTATGCTTTAACCACAATAAACATACTGTATATTCATAGCATAAGCTCTTGCCAAAATTAATATTCCTTTGTAATTCCCAATAAGGGTTCAACCAGGCAAGAAAACAGCCAATCAACAGAGATGTCGAACATTATTCGAGAATAAGAATGTATATAAGTAGGAATTAATTGTATATACACAACTTATCTTGTATTATTAAAAAGCAAGCCATACACCCCCCATGACTTGGCAGAAATCACCTACAAACACATTGGAGGAGAAAGGGTGATCTCTTGGAAATAGAGTTGAGACAGTTAGAGCATCGATCGATATGATCACACAGTCAATTTGTAAGACTTGATTATAAGATAGTTAGAACATCCATAAATTTTGCCGTCACTTTGTAGAATTTCATTGTAACGTAGAAAAAAGTAATGAGATTCAACTGTTGGTCAAGTTTGGTTCAATTCCTACAATGATTTCATTTGCTGGTGGCTAAGTTTGATTAAATCCTTCAGTATTGGACACGTTTGGTTCCCTTTCTATCTTGTTTGTTTACCTTAACCCTTTAGTGCAAAACCTTAATTTCTAATCCTAATTTAAATTTCTAGCAGATGGATTAGCAATTGTTACTCGGGAAGCTATAAATTAGAAATCCACTTATTTTGACTGTAGATGTACTATTCTACAGATTTTTCAATCAAGGATAGCCTTAATCTCACTACACCCACTTGAAGTCCCATATGATATCTAAAATCCAGCATTCTCGAATATCCTTATTTCATAAAATAATCACATAGCAACGGACTGCATCATACAATAATCACATATCTAAAACGCAGCATGTTCTCTTTTTGCAGCCTGAAAAGCCCGCTAATGACAGAAACCTTAGTGTTTTTTTTTTTTTTTTTGGCTACACTCTGCATCCGTAGGTGCTGCTAAAGTTGAGTTGGGAATATACATCTCACAGGAAAGAATACCATAGCCATTTTCTTTTGAAATAAGATGTTCTGAGGCCTACTTGCATGTCAATTATAAAAGACTTCCAGTTTCTCATTTGTCAAGGAAAATGAAACACAATCTGTGAAATGACAACAAATTATGGAAAAATAAAAGCATATTGCTAGCAAGAATAAGATCATATGCTTTGCATTGGTTCATGGAAATCAGGGAAAATAACAAAGATTTGAAATCAATTAATTGGGAAGCAAGGAGGTACCTGTTGTGCCTTTGCACGAAGGGTGAGTTCTTGGCATCTTCCTCTGCATATCATTAACATCATTGAATATACAATTTAAGTTAAGCAATTAGGCTTTTAAAATCACAAAGGAAATACACAGAAGTAATCACATGACAGACCAAATTAAATCCATATATGAAGATGCATACAGATATTATGTATATATATATATATATATATAGATGACAAGAAATTAGAAAAGATGCAAAGAGCAATGAATCATCAGGTACCAGTGAGGCTGCTAGTAAACTTTGTAATTAGGGTTCCAGTGATGGCAAAGCCGACCAGGAATGGCCAGTTACGACTCCATTCTCTTCTAAAGAAAATGGGCCATGGATCAAACTTTTTCATCTCTCTTCCTCTTTTGCTTCTTCAAATTCTATATGCTGCTTCTTATTCTTCTGCAATTGGCATGAAAGGACGCCCATGTGCACAACATCCATCATAAGAACTCAGCTTCCAATAATAAAATCAAAACACTCATCCAACAAAACAACAAATATGAAACAAGAATTCAATGATCACCAAAACCAATGGCTACTAAGCCTAAAATAAAAGCGAGGAAAGTGAGGAGGTAGCTGCCTATTCTAAATGTTGTAGATTGGGGTTCAAGTGAATCACCCAGGTAAAATGAGACCAGCAAAATTTTTACTATGGCTCATTTGATTTAAGCGGGGTTACTGCTTGCTTTTTCAATAGAAGAAAATACTACTCTATATGCAATGCGGAGAAAACATTATCTTCGTGCTGCTTGTAAAATCATCTTATACAGCTGAATCAATGTGCATCGTAACTTGAGTCACTGTTGCTATCAGCAATCTAAACTGAAAGGGATTTCAAGCAGCATGAACAATTTACTCATAAGTCTACTCCATTACTAACACACAACTTATAATAATATCATAGAGGATTTAACAGCCAGAACATTGCACATCCGGAGTAACACACATCCTAGATTAAAAATTTTTGGATTAGCCGACTGAAGTTAAATCAAAATGGTGAAAAATCTAGCAGATTAAGGACTCTCATTCAGAACACGAAGATGAAACAAATGCAAGGGAGTCCAATTTGTCTCCTATCTTAAAAATCAAACAACCAAAACTTCCAAGTTCATATCCGACCAATCAAATTCAATACATCATCCAAATTCCAACAACAATCCCTAAATCAATCCTCAATTTGTTCAAAACGAAAATGTATTTACCGGAGATTAAAAAAACAAAAAAACAAAAACAAAAGGTCCGATCGAGTCGTTACCTGCTTGAGGAAGATTTTCAGCTCTTGCTATGACGAATATGTAAGATGAGCGACGATGAAGACCGAAGAGATCCTTGAGATAAAATAAAATATATTTTTTAGTACTTTTTATGCTTTAATTTTTTTTTTTAAATTTTCAAGAAAATGTTAAATTTTAATATGGGCCGGGCTATTTTAACGGTTCGATTTGGGCCAGGCCCAAATTGGGCAAAGCCTCATTGACGCCTAACCCATTAAATTAATTAAAAATTAAAATTATTAAAATATTAAGTACAATTAAATTAATTTTTAAAATTTTTTAATATTTAACTTGGTCATACGGACCTAATTTTCATGTTCATTTTCCTTTAAAATTTTAAATTAAATGGTAATTAAATATTTTCATAAATTCATATTTGAAATTTGCAAAAATTATAAACTAAAATATAAATATAAGTTCATTTGATAAGCTAAACTCAAAGCATAAGTAGGTACAATTTGGGATATTGGAATTTAAGATAAGGTAAAGTCTTTAAATTGCTTTTAGAGCTTTTTAAATGAGTAAATTATTTTTAGCTTACAAGCTTATCCATTTATATAATAATGTCACATAAACATTGTTTCTAATTTTATTATATTATGCATCTAAAATTAAATGCGACATTAAATATTTAAAACTAATAAAATTTACTTTAATTCGAAAAAATATAAAATTTCACTTTACCTATAAATGAAATTTTATTAAAAATTATCGAATCAAGCTAAATAAATATATGATTTAGCATTCAATCAATTTGAATTACGAATAATCAAAAATTTATTGTAATATTATCAATATTATTATTTGGTAGAAATATTTTTAATATTGATGTCTATATAAATGATTATTTTGCTAGTTTTGAAATAAATAAAAATGGGTAACAATTAGAAAAATATATAATATCGCATGAATATAATAATAATATATCGAGATAACATTATAATTTATTTTATTTATTAAATTATTACTTTGCCACCATAGTATATTAGAATAAAAAAAATATTTAATTTTTACCAAAGAATTCCATTTATATCAAAACTTGCGAATAATATTAAAAATTATGTAATTTTTTTTTTTCATGTTATTAATATAATATTCAACACAAAAGTTATTCTTATTATATGATCTATTAATTTTTATTTCTAACAATCTTAATGGATTAATAATTTAAGACTATCTGACAAAAAAATTATATTTATATTAATAAATTATTTTTATAAATATAATTAGTGATACAATACCATAAAGGTAAATTTTTTGAAAAAAATAAAAATATTAACATAATATATATATATTTACATAGAAGAAAAATAAGTAACAACAAAAAAAAAAAATCAAAGAAATATAATGGAAGATCTAAAATCAAAAGATTATAATTAAATTTCAGTATTGTCATTAGTGTATGTATATATACCATTTAATATTATCACTAAATTAATATATGTGTAAATAGGTTAATCAAAGGTACTTTTATTATTTAGTTTACTTTTTTAAGTACCAATAAATAAAATTGAAGTGGCATAAACACTGCCTTGATTAAAAATATTCCAAATAAAGTAGCTTATATATATATATATATATATATATATATATATATATCTATCATGCCTTTTATATCATTAATAGTTTAACAAGCGGCCCGTACAAAATCTTGTAAAAAGAGATTCACAAAAACCTATCATATCAACTAAGATGCCCACTAAAACATGATACTTAAAATTAAAAATATATATGTATATACACGATATATAAAATTAACAAAAGTGAGAAATATGGTACATAAACGTGGCAATTTATCTTAATGACGATGATAATAATAATAATACTAACAATAATAATAATAATAATATTTTACTATAATATATATATAGGTATATGAGTTGTTTGTGATCAAAGTTATCAAGTGCTTACATCAATGAATGCCTAACATATATACTAGTTATTCCGGTCACAAACCCACATCATGATTCATTATGTATGTAATGATTTTCAAATATTTTGATAATGATTTGTGAAATGACCAAGGATTAAAAACTTAATTAATTCTTAAAAAAATGATTAAGTAAACTTATTATATGAATATATTTTGTAACATACCGGACAGAGTATGGGGATGGTCTGATTTACCCTCATACCAGACGGGATATTAAGGGATGATACTTTTGGTGCTCATACCGGACAGGGTATGGGACAACCTGATTCACCCTCATACCAGACGGAATATCGAAATATGGTATTTTTGGTGCTCATACCGGACGAGGTGTGAGAACAGCTGGTTAGTTAACAAGTTTATATATTAGGTTCATGCGTAGTGGGACATCCCTATGGACATACAGGGATACTAATAAGCAAATAAAAAGAGAAATTTGTTGTTTTTGCTCACTTGAATATGAGATCATAATGTTATTTAAGTTATTGTCTCTATAGGTCAATTTTGGAAATCTCGTAATGGTAAGTATGCAATAAATAGTTTTTCTTATGATAAATAAATTTACTTAAATTAAAAGCTCAATTGGTTGTTTTTATAATTTTTATCAACATTCAGTTCCCCTATCGGTGAGTAATGTGATATTCTTATTGGGTTAGTATAGCTCACCTCCTCTCCTATTAACCATTTCATATTAAAAAGATCAAGATCCAGATCCTGATTAGCAAGAGGGCTGTGAGTAGGTGTCCCCTCAGATCCTATCAAGAGCTAGTGAAGGTTAACATTCATATAATATTTATTTACTATTTTTATATATTATTATATTTTTTTTATGAACTGCTGTGAAATGGACATTTCTATAGCCCTATTGGGTATGGTAATTTATGTGTAAGAAATGTAAACCCTAACGTTATTATACGCTTTTACATTTAATTTGTGACCTTATTTTCATTTAAGTTTTGAGCATTTACAGTTAGTATTAGAGTCGCATTCCTCATAACCATTCCTTACACA